AAGGATAGAAAACAGATCCAGTGGACGGACGAAATGGATGAGGCTCTCCTCAAGGAGGTTGTTCGGCTAGGTCCTTGCATGGAAAGGTTGCTGCAACTTGGGCTAAGGCCGCACTCGTCATGCAAGAATCTGCCCGGACCTGCCAGGTTTGATGCGATATTCTCATGCAAGATTTCTCCCGTCAAAACCAAAAAAGCATGCGTGCGTCTGGGGTGGATGAAGACGTTGGCGACATGACAAAGCTGAAGCAAGACATTCTGGACCAGCGCGAAGACGCAAAGAGCAAGAAAACAAGAAAGCGCGAAGACGAGCAAGATCGTCAAGACTTGCTCGACCAAGCAGGTGAAAGGCATGCAACGATGCAGAGGAGCGGGTCGCAAGCGGATGGCCCTGGGGACCATGCCTGCAACAATCAAGCGCGACGCCACCCGTGATCTCACTGATTTGTTACTGGCATTTGAAACCAAGCGCACGACGATGATCATGCATTTCGAATGCAGAGGTTGAAGTTTGAACAAGACGAACAAGAGATTCGTCGGAATGAACAAAGCAAATGGCCATGCTTCTTGAAAAACTCATTGACACATTGCGAAGTTAACTTTAATTCAAAACGAGTTGTGCTTATCATGTTTGAACATACACGTGCGAAATGATTCCGTCCGGGGTAACTAAAGTTTGAAACTTGAGTGCATGTTTCCGTTTGTGACCATTGAACATACTACGTTGCACAGTCCCATTCATCGGTCGCAAACACGCTCGAACAGTGCCATCCACAAAGGCCCAAACGTTACGAACTTCACCACCCTTGCTGACGACAGAATTTGCAAAACGACCAAGAAGAGGGGCAATCCGGTCACGGTCCAAATAGAGAATGTCCTTGTATTTGTTGTGAACATGGTCCACCACATGCAAAAATATGTTGACAGGGCGCTGGGAGATCGGCCGAAAATATCAATGATGTCAATCCACCGGTCTTCGATGGCAAGGCGTCGGAGCAAAATACAAACGGCCTCAACATTCGAACACCGAGTGCGTTCAGTAGTGATGATTGTGCGAGGTAGTCGAAAGCAATGGACCAAACGTAGTATGTCAGAACAGGTAAAGCGGAACTTGGCCAAACATTCCGCATCGTTGTATTTTTCGAGGTTAAACTCGACGCAGGGAATTGGTATCGGGTCTTGGGTTGACCCTCACGCCTGAGAGCCTGCAATAGCAGGGGGCCAGCGGACCTCACGAGGACAGCATCTGCGGGTGTGATGCACATTTTCGTTTTGTTTCATCCGACTTTTTCGGATAACCGGTATGCAACTATCAAAGTGTGCGTGTCTGTGTGCTCGAAGACAAGCCGGATATTTGATGCAAATTCCCGGCTTGCTAAAACGCTCTATTTTCAGCATCTTCCACTTACGACTCGTGTCCAAGCAGTCCATGTGGTCGTGACCGCCTAGGCGTTGGTTGCTGACTGATGTAGCACGCCGAGATGCTTGCGCATCAAAGTGCATGGCGTCATGTGCGTCCTTGATGAACTGCTTCAAACTTGCCGCACAACGCACTGGGGCGTATTGCCTCGGAAATCTGCATGCACAAACGAAAAAATGTCAACGAACCTTCGCCTGCGGAGGATGGAAGGCACACATGGGACGTAGTTGAGCTGCGATGGACAGCACGCGTGCCCCATGGAGACAAGAGTGTATCCCTCCCGAGTCTGTCGGAAGAGTCGCAAAACGAGTCGGAGCGCTCGAGTCCGCAAAAGTCGCGATCGCTGATCATAGTCAACGACGAGTGGAGACCGGCCCATCGAAACCCAGCATACAAGGGTGTAGATGCTGGAAGGCAGGCGGTTGATGACATGTTGTCCACATCGTGACCAACCGTCACACGCCAACAATGCGGGACTGCAAATCGGCGACGGCGATGACAGGTCTCTCTTCGCCGCTGCATCCGCCGTCTGAACGACGAGTTGATGCATTTTTTTGCTCGTCGAGAAGTCTGGAAAGAGGCGAAGAGTTGCACCCTTAAATACCTCGATGATCCGTTGGCCATCGTGTTTAACTGTCATACAACGCAACGAAAGAAAGCGCTGTTTCGCTGCTCGCGTGGGCTGAGAAACATCTACGAGACCACGGCCAGGTCATCTTGCCAGAGCCACCCTTCCGTGTAAAATAGCAATTGAGTGAAAATTGGAAAGTGATTGATAAAGCTGAGGTTAAACTAGACTTCGAAAATGTTCGCTTTCTAAAAATTCTGCATTAGGCAGCGCTAGGGCGATGCGGCTTTCATTAGCTTTCACTTGCGCAAGGCTCATGTAACGTGCAGAATGGGAGATTATGTATGACGTGGCCTTTAGGCTATATTTGATTTGTGGATCAAATATTTCACGCCGATGTGGCTCAACAACAGCCGCACAGAGGAATTGCTCTGTTCGAATCGATGAACACGTACATATTTATGCTTGACTCGAGGACGTTGGTGCGGTTGACTTACGAGTTCTTGCCAATTCTGCTCATAGCTATCCGTTCGACATCAAGCAGCAGTTGCAAGCAAGTCTGGGGACGTTGTAGTGGAGCCATCAAAGCGCACGAACCGAAACTGTAGACTAGACAGTCTTTTCGTTGGGACTTCATACTCGGGATGGGTTGGCTGGAATCTAACCAACCTTGGATCGATTAGAAACACAAGACTATGCACAAGGGAGTCTGGCTGAACACTGATGAACCTTGGATCCGACGCTGTGCCGCTGTTAACGTTGCACAGCCTTCAGCGTCATCCGTGGCCCCTGCCCTCATTGCGACCTATAAATCGCGGCAGATGCCCGGCTAGTACGCTAGTTTGACTAATACAATTGTCCTTGCATTCCACATCGGCAACCTCACCCCGGAAAGTTACACCCGTCTACCGACCCGCCACCTGACGCCGCCATCGTATCCACAGCTCATCGCCCAACCTCGTCCTCATCCCAATCGTGCCTCATTGACGCCCCCTACGCCCCCTGAATTGTGCTGGGTGCAAATCCGCCAGTTGCTTCGCCTTATTTCAGCACCGACTATTTGTGTACGCAAGATCTCACTGCGGATGCGTTCATTCAGCGCGTTTGAAACCTCTTTCACTTACCTCGGCCCTCCTCCGAGGTCTGGCGTTGTCAGAAATGAGCCACCATCGCTTTCAGGAAAATCTCCGTTCACAAGACATTGCGTAAATAGAGATTATAACGTTTAATGAAGGCCACGGCTTCTTGTCCTCTTCTACTTGCAGAGGAGTCCGATATGCCCGACATAGCGGATCCCAGACGTGCGACTCTGCTCTGGTCGAGTGCGCTCCGAGTCCAGCTCAACCTCGCTGAGATCGTTGCTGGATGTTGGATGGACTTGTACGGGACGACCTGGACGGATAACTATCCGTTTATCGGTTAGTCGCCCCGGAGTCTTGTAGTCCCGGAGTCTGGGCGTCTTGGCAAGTTGCTACTGTATTGAGGTGAACGAAGTGAACTGACCAGGAAGGTAATGAGAAGTAACTCAGTTTGGATTTGCATTGCTTTCCGAATGGAAGACGCCTTGCGGACAAACAAGGCGCGGACTCGCAACAAAGATATCTTTACAGTAGTGCGCTACGAGTCTGAAATGGTTGAAAGTGACCACGATGGACAAGACAGATCGCGTTCGCCACTTGGCGACGACGACAAGTCGCGGTCGAGGGAGCGTAGTAGTATCTCCCGACACCTGACTCCCGGTAACCGTGGAACCTCCCAGCCGGGAGCTGGCCGCTAGACCCAAGTCAAGTGCCTCTACCGGCTGGTGAGGACGACGACATCATTGGCGCGGCGACTACACATAGCCACCGCGAACAACTCGCGCGACAGCGAGTCAACAGCCGTCGCAACCTCAAGACGATCCGAATGACGTCGACATGGGCGAAGACGTCCCGTATGTTTTTGATGCGCCGGCGATTCCCCAAGCACCGAGCTTTAGCGGCTCGACCAAGCAAGAGCACCGAGTTTTATGCGCGCCTACCAGAAGTGCGTGGGCCAAATCAACGCGCTACAGACGGCCGGCGCTAGACCCTTCGTGATGCCTGTGCCCGCATGTGTGGATCACTTCACGAAGCGTCGTGTGGTGTTGTGGAATTTTAACCGGCCGTACGACGAAATCACGGAGTTCGAGTGAATAGTGTGGTTTTCTATGGCGTTTAAAGAAGAGCCACGTGACCTGGACACCCTATTGAGGCGTCTGTCGACCATTCGTTTTGACACGAAGATTCTGGACGCCGACTCTCGGGTTGGGAAGATGCTTGACGAGCTCATGAAGGCCCTATAACGCAACAACCAAGAGTGGGTCCTCAAGGACGAAGTAAAGTTGTCGTGGACCTTACAGTCAAGGCAGTCCGACCGTCGATGCTCCAGTCGGCCGTCAAGAAGCAAATGCAACTGCAAGTCAATAAGCCGTTGCTTTCTGACGTGATTCTCTTCGTCGACTGTTTGCAGACATTCGCAACCGGTTACCAACTCTACGGCGGCGTAGAAGACTAGGAGAAGCCTGCCAAGCCGGCGAAGAGCCAAAACGGTCGTGGTCTTGCGTCGACGAGTCCCGACGTGAAGAAAACGGACGGGGGAGCTAGATCAGCGAAGCCCCGGTCCGCGGACGGAGCGACCAAGTCAAACGCACCGTCTGCCTCTGCGCGAAGCCTTCTGCGTGTCTCCCGTGCAAGTCTTTGGCTCACAAGGTCAAGGACTGCTGGAAGACGGCGCCTGGCGAAGCGCAAGCGCTGCTAGCGGCGCTGATGCAAAAGTGGAAGGACGCCCGCGAATCGTGTCTGACTGCTAATGTTATTGACCTCGGACCAAACCGCTCGAAGATTGAAGACGGTGCCACCGTGGCCGACGTTGTCGTGGTAGAGAACGTGCTACTTGACATGGGTGCTAACGTCAACGTGGCCTCCGTGGGTTTGATTACGGCGCTGGAGAAGGCGGGCGTGGCGACCCAGGTGGTGGTGGACGACACACCGACCGCCCTGTACCCGTATGGGAAGGAGACCAAGCTGGTCATGCTATCCTAAGGTTTACGACTGAGTGTGGCGCTCACGACGACGTGTGGCCCTCTCCTACTGCGTGGCGTGCCCGTCTGGATCGACGACGAGGCAGACACCGACGTGGCGCTGATTTTCAGCCATCCTGTGATGGAGTCCTTGGGATACTCTACGGGCGCGCTGCTTGTAAAGGAGCGGTCTCTCAAGCCTGTGTCAGACATGTCCGACAGTGTGTTCCTGCCATCTGAAGAAGTCAGTGTGAATCGGGTGTCTGCGTCCCGTCATGTCGTCCAGGATGATGACTCCGAGGCCGGGATGGAGTGCTCTACCCCTGTGCTAGACGTGCTGCCGGGCGACAGTAAGGAAGACCGTCGTCGACGTTGCGAGGCCGAGGTGAAGGCGATTCTGGCGGTGAAGGTCGAAGGCGCACGAAGCCTCGGTCAACGCGACGAAGAAGTTGAGCGCTTGGAACACCTGCTGTCCAAGGTTTTGGACGTGTTCCGAACGGACGTCGGGAATGACCCCCCCATCAAGGTGGAGCCCCTCAAGGTCCGCCTGAAGCCAGATGCAGTCTCGGTCAAGTGCTCGATGCGTCGATATCCACCTGACCAAGTGGAGTTTCTCAAGCGGCATGTCGGCCAGCAGGAAGACGCCGGACTGGTTTACCGCAACAACCGGGCGAAGCGGGCTGGCTGGACGATCTGCTTGGCGCCGTGACCACGCCAAAAGGTGTGTTCCACCTGCTGGAACAAGTCCTGGCGATCTGCGAGACTTTCGAGTTGAAGCTGCACCCGATGAAATGCGCGTATTTCCTCCAGGAGGCCAAAAGGTGCGGCAAGGTCATTTCGTCTGCTGGCGTGACCCACTCCCCTGCCAGGGTACAAGGGTTGTGCAACTTGGCAGAGCCTATGACGGCCGCCGACCTCCAGCAGTTCATCTGTGCGACCAACTGGATGCAGTCGAGCATCCCGGAGAACAGCCAACTAATCGACCCATTGCGTCGACTTCTCGATGTTGGCACGAAGCTATCCCGGAGTGCCAAGATCTGCGCTGGCCAAGATCCCGGTCAGTGCCATGGGGTAGGCTGCCAAGTACACGACGTGCTTTGAGGCTGTCAAGAAGGCCCTGTCAAGCATTGTCCCGCTGAGTCACCCCCGAGAGACATGACCGTATGTCTATTCACCGACGCGAGCGAAAGATTCTGTGGAGCGATTGCTACCCAGGTCCCACCCGAAGACCTCGAGCTGCCTCTGTCCGAGCAGCGCTACGAGCCCTTGGCGTTTCTGAGTGGCTTGTTTGTGTCGTCAAGTTCGCGCTGGCCTAGTATGGAAAAGGGGGTATTCGCCGTGGTCGAGACTTGCAAACGCCTCGATTACCTGTTGATCCGTCCCGGTGGGTTCGGTTTGTTCACGGAACACCGAAACCTCGAGTACATCGTCAACCCACGCGGCTAGAGCCCAAACATGGCGAAGTATCAAGTCGACAAACTCCAGCTGGGGCGTTGGTGATGTCCACCTTCCCGTACATCATCAAGTCGGTGTCGGGTGAAGACAACGTCAGGGGCGACCTTCTCAGTCGCTGGGGTGCGACGCCTGCGGTTGCTCTTGTGCGACGTCTGGCAATGCTAGTTTCACCCCTGCGTCACAAGCCGACGGATCAGTCGGTCTTCAAGTTTCAGAAGAGTCGACTGCGGAACGACGGTCAACCAACTGATGGAGTGACCTGGAACGACGACATGAAGTTTTATGTCAAGCCGAACGACTAGATTTGGGTCCATGACGACGACCTGGATCTCCAACAGCGGCTTTGTGTGATCGCCCACCAAAGAGCTGCTGGCCACCGTCGAGGGGCGGCGACGACGGAACTGTCGCGGCGAAGTTCGAGTGGACCATGCTCAAGGCCGAGAGAGCATTAAGTCAGCAAGGAAGTTGTCCCGGTGTGTATTGGACCGAAAAGTTGTATTCGGGGAAGTAAGATAGCCAGCGGGCCATGGGAGCTGACACGTGGGGCGTGTTGACGGCGGTCCACAGCGTCGCGTGGTATGTATGAATGGGCAGGCAATGATGAGGTAAACGCGGATTAGGTGAGTACGCACTTGATCGAGAGGAACTCGAGATGATGGACGGAATATGACCGCTCGGCTGCTTGGAGCTGGCGGCTTTGATATGACACGTGACGCCAGCGACAAGCTGCGTCCGGTTGCATCAAGCTAAAACCGATGGTGCGTTGGGAAGCGTCACCGATAACTTCTGAACGGTTTGGAAATATCTGGGAGCGTCAAACTAGGGGCGATCTTGAGGCTGGCGATAAGGGCGTCGAGGTCGGACTAACATTCGTTTGACCAAATCAATGGGGAATTTTTGGCGAGTAACACAAAGAAGAGTAGCGCGGTGTCGGCGAAACCATGAGTTTATTTGTGGAGGTAGGTGGCCAGACCAAGCCACCTGTGAAGGGACGTACCGAAGATGGAACTGACCAGTAGACGATGTTCTTGACTTTGCCGGGATCAGCACGGCAACTGCGAATGCCGACGGCGTCTCCAAGGATAGGGAATTGTCAAACCCAATTATACATTAGGAGAGGTTGGCATACAAGCCAAACTCTCGAAGGACGATGACGACCGTGCGAAGGTATCGACGGTGGACGTCGAAGTCTGGCTCAGTTCTAGAATCGCGACTATGGATGTAAATGTCGTCAATGTACGACGGAGCGAAGTCACGGATATGGTGGGACTTGGCTGCCACCATGCTATTGAAGTCGCAGAAGCTTGGCTACGTATTGTGGTATCACTAGCCACTCCCAAAATACCATTAGGTGTCGAGATGGCCGTCTTTGGCACGGCACAAAGGAGTATGAGGATATGATACAAACCATCCGGCAAGTCGATAGGGAATACGTGGTGGATCGACACTTGCCGTCGATAATCACGTCTTTTCGAGAAATGGGTGTTTGCGCCGGAAGGATGGCAGCGTTGAGTTCGTGAAAGTCGTGTACGATACGCCACCTGCCGTTAGATTTCGTCTCACATACAACTCAGGTTGCTGTGGGGGAAGTGAGTATGATGCGTAGTTGGCCAGCTGCTTTGCGAGCCACAGAGAACGCGTCGATCGGTTCGACTTAATCACGCGGAATCGGCCATTTGGTTAGTAACGCAGTACTTCGTGCCGGGCACGAGGTCGATTTCGTGTTGCGCACATTTGTTGACAGTCAGACGACAAGGTGCCCCGTCGGGGAACACGTCCTTGAATTCAACAAGGACGGGCAAAACCAATGTGGTCGCCGATGCTCTATCTCGCCCTCCGCGTGACGACAACACGTTGCCACCGACGATCTCCGTACACTCCTGTGGTATCCGTTGCCAGCTTCATGTCGCCTTTATGGAACGTTTTCAGCAGTCCCCACTCATTTCCTCCTTGCCGTCCCGCGAACTGTCGAAACTAGTTGGATCGCCCTTTTTAGGGGAGAAGTGTGATGAGGGAAAAAGGCCGCTCATTCCCCAACGACTTGTTATCAACCA